CTCCCTCCGGGCTCGGGGCTTCGCGTGGCTGCGCGGCGCAGTTTAAGGAATCCATCACCTTGATAGCAAACAGTAGGTTTACGGCATCCATCACTTTGATGGCAAACAGTGGGTTTACGGACTCCATCCCTTCAGGGCGGGGCGAGGCCTTTCTCGGCTCCGAACGTGGCCTAGGGACCGCGGGGCCTGTCCGGTGGCCCGGAGTCGGGCGGCTTGGACGCGTTTGGCTCTGGGCTTCGGCACCAGATTGTCCCTTCTTCACAGCTGGTGCCGGCGAGTTATCTGTGCAGGCATTTGAGTCCCTCGGGAAAGCTGCCGTGAGAACGCGTGGTCTGCTCGTTTCAAACATTTCTTTTTGTTTGGGTGATTGTAATTTGTCAACCAAGGAGTGCGCGCTGTCCCACGTGGGTTGTTAGGAGTGTGTGGATTTCTGAATTCCTGCGTTGGCAATACGGAGTTAGGTCTTTTCCAGCCCTAACATTCTTAATGACTTTAAAAATCAGACATTCATCTTGAATTCTCAGTCTTTTTCTGTGTGACACTTCCCACGCCGCGACTGAAGTGATGAGTCCTATATTCGCTGCATCTCTTCGGACCTTGCGCTGACTAGTTTGGAAGCACAACAGCGGGGTTTTCACTCTGCTCCAGGGGCCCGGCAGCACGACCCTTCCTTCCGGCAGTCACTGTGGTGGTTGCAAACGCGGACCTCAGGTTAAAATTCTAGTCTCCTGACCCCAAGCCAGTGAGTTCAGAAGAGAGTCCGTTTCCAGACTTAAACAGGGCTTCCAGTGATGCGCCGCTGTCACTGCCGGTTTCCTGGCCAGAGATGGTGTCTTTTTGTATCTCCATTGTTCAGCATAATACCTGAGTGACAGCAATGGTCAGTAATGTGGAAATATAGCTGCTGCTTATTTAGTTTAAGTCCCCATTGCATGCATTTGGACGTAAGTCTTTAGCTGAAATGAAAATGATTTCCTGTAGGGTTTACTTGGGAAGGCAGTTCTTAGTGACAAGGTCTTCCACAAGAATATGTGAGAAAATAACGGATTCAGAGGTCTGGTTGTGTAAGCTCTTGTAGTGTCTGGAAGAATTTGCCAGTTGTTTGGAATTACTAACTTTATTACCTAGGAAAAGGAGATTCTGGAGAATTCTATTTGCATTACAGTATTGAAGGAATTATCTACTATAGTTATTTTATCTACTCATTTAGATTTCAAAAAATTTTAGTGTTTCAGGGCTTCTTTCCGGGATGAGGATAACTTTTTTCAAATTGTACAAGTTGATTAATTTCTCTTAGCCAGCTTGATGTAAACAACCCCATTCACCATATCCTCTCCGTGTGCATTTAATGGGAGTCACAACAGTTACAACCCAAGTATTTGGTTGTAGCCACTAGGTTAAACCCCCCCCCCCCCCCCCACACACACACGGATAATTTAGATATTTAAAATTTTTTATTTAATAGTTTCTTTATAATTGAAAACTAAAGGCCCGGTGCATGAGATTTGTGCACTGGGGGGAGGGGTCCCTCAGTCTGGCCTGCATCCTCTCACAGTCTGGGAGCCCTGAGGGGGTGGGGGGCTATGTCCGACTGGCGGCTTAGGCCCACTCCTGCAAGGCCCACTCCTGCAAGCCGTCAGTCGGACGTGCGGCGGAGGAAGCAGAGGCTCCTGCCACACCATCACCTCTGCGCTTGCCAGCCATGAGCCCAGTTTCTAACGGCATTCCCCCTGTGGGAGCACACTGACCAACAGGGGGCAGCTCATGCATTGAGTGTCTTCCCCCTGGTGGTCAGTGCACACCATAGCGACCGGTTGTTCTGCCGTTTGGTCGATTTGCATATTAGCCTTCTATAATATAGGATAGGATAATCTAGTGCAATAATTTTAGAAAGCTTTTCTTAATACAGATGAGAACGGTTATTTCAGCCCAGCTGCCTTCAGTCCCATTTGATGCAGATTATAACTGTATAAAAATAAACAATACTTTTGATAGTTTTTATTTTTTTAAGGCAGCGCTAATTAAGTTCGGATAGGGTGGTGTCTTTGATATTCTCCTGTTGGCACTGAATACCACATATAAAGGTGAGGATGGCTGTAAGGTTGAGAAACACCTGTGGACTGGTGGGTCTCTGGTGGGGAGGAATTCGGACAGTGTGTTGATGCTTATTGGTGTCTCTTTTCTCTTCTAGGGCCAGCAGAGAGAAGAGATTCCATCTTCCAGAGGTCGCCACTGTCTGCCTCCCCACTTGTCCCCATCCTCAGTCATCTTTTTAAAAATGTACAGTGACACATTAGTTGTCTAGTTCTTCATAGTGAATGTGGTCTAAATCTGACATCATTCCCATTGACTTAAAATTTGAACTTTAGTGTTATTCTTATTGAAAATTGTCTTTGAGTGTGATAAACTCTCCACTGAAAGATATTGACTGTTTGCAATGAACAGATTTTAGTTTCAATTTCTGAGTTATATAGAGCCTTAAATGAAGGATGAAAATGTATTTTTTATTATTTTTTATGTTTTTGAATAATTAGATACCTGCAATAATGGATATGTAAATATGGTTTTGGAGGGTTTTTTTTTTTTTTTTGACAAGTGAAATTTCAAGTGATATATTTGACAGAATTTGAAAGTTACAAAATCTTGAAGTATCATTTAACATTTTTCTCTCAATGGTTTTTCCTTTAAGATTTGCAGAGTTCTCCCCCCTCCCCCATTTATTTGTGAGAAATTACATCTTATTAATTGGAGGAATTATATTTAATGTCAAAGAAATAAATTAACTCTTCTATTTGTTGTAGCTTATTGTTTCTAAAATGAATTCCCTAAACAGCCCAAAAGTTAAAAAAAAAAATTATTGGTGATTAGAGTTTTCCTACTTTGTCTTGCTGTGTGAGGAGTTTACAAATTAAAAATGTCTTTGGGTTGTGAACATCACATAAATCTGTCTCAGTGCTTTTCAGTATATGGAGCCGGGCAGGAACCGATCCCATTTGAGGGGGAGGTCACACAAAGACCTTTCAAATTAAAGTCTTGCTCAAAGCAGATTTGCAGGTATCCTGCAACAGGGACTCCCACAAACCCTGCTGTAGATAATCCTACGTGAACTACTGTTCAGTAACTAAATGGATATCCCAAGTTTTTGTTACATGTTTATCCTCTTGTTCTAGTATTCCTAAAATCATTAATTCGGCAGATTTTTTTTCTTCCCCCTGCTATGATTCCTTTTAGCATTTATAAAAATGTGTGTATTGGCCTATAGCTCTTTATAGAAGCCTCACCTTTCTTTATGTCTCATTGCCAATGGCTTTATAATTTTTGCAGCTAGGCTAACATTAAAAAAAAAACAAAAACCCTACTTTTTGGACTTAGAAAAAGATACTGGTTTATGCTATTTAAATATTAATGTCTTATAAAGTGGGTAGTTGAATTTAATAATTAAAAACCAAGTTTTATCATGAAGGCTGTTCATTTTTCTTCAGATTCTCCCCTCTGGACTTATTCAATATTTATATCTTTATAGAAGAATTACTTAATTAAAGATCTTTTTATCCTCATGTGAGGCTGAAAGGACCCAGACTTTAAGACCATTACTTAAGTTGATTTTCCACAGACTGACTTCAGCCAAGATAGAGTTAGTTCCCATGACCAGCAAAGACAGTTCCTCAAAATCATATTTTGTTTTGTTGGCAAATATGATAGTGTGGTTTTCCCATCTGAATGCTTTACCTAGTCTAATCAAAGTGAGGTATGATAGCTATATGGCTACAGTTTCGATTTCTCAGCAGTTCTTATACCATTTTCAATTTAGAACTTAAATATTTCACCATTTAACATCTTATATCTTAGTTTTATGTCTGTCCGAGTTGTTTGAAGATAATATGTTCTAATGTAATGAGTCCAAAATTAAGTTTTCTGATTAAAATGAAGTAAATGCAAAACATAGACTAATATTAATCTCAGCATTTGTTACTCATGGGTTTAATTTCTATTATACTGTTAGTTCTAATTTAAAATCTCCAAATTGTGCCCTACAGTACAAAGCAATTAAACTACCTTAGCACCTGAAGAGAAATTTGACCTGTTAATGATTATATTAGGCTTTTTCATAAAACAGTTCTCATAAAACAATTCCTGCTTCAAAAGCTGGTTTAAAATGAGATTGAAACCTATCTGCGAAAGCAAGATGCTCAGTATTCAAATTGAAGACTGTTAATCTTGGGTAGATTTTGGCACGGTGAAGGAATTTTTTATATACAAGAAAAGTCATGATTTTTTCTGTTTTCTATTTTGCTATAGTTAATTGACACTTCATTTAGTTCTAATAACCAGAGATTAGAATAGTTACAGTTTATTTTCTGGGAAGTATCTACACTAATAAAAAAGAAAGATGCAAATTGACCATGCCTTCATGGTGCCCACCAGCCAATTAAAAGTATTATGCAAATTAACCCAACAAAGATGGCAGGTTAATTTGCATATGCAAGCACCGAGCGGCCAGGGGTGGGGCGGGATGCTTGCGTCATCGCCATGGTGAAGAAGCAGCTGTTCCGCACTGCCCCAGCCGCTCCAGGCCTCTGGGCAGCATGGGAAGGCGGAAAGGCGGCTCCACCTGGAGTGAAGGCAGTGATGGGAGCCAGGGGAAGGAAGGCCCATTCTTGCACGAATCTTCGAGCATTGGGCCTCTAGTAGGTAAATAAACAAGCTCGTAGAAACAATACTAAATGCTGATGGCTTTCTGGTCCCATATTATATTGCTCCTGATTATCTGAATATGTCTCCATCTGTTACTTAACAAAGACTAGGAGAGAGAGAGCCATTTTTGCAAATCAGCCAATCATCTCTTAGTCAAATCTCTTTATGTAAGGTCAACAGAGAACATTCCCATTATACAGTTGAGGAAATTGCATGCCTTTGAGTGCAGTTAAGTCACTTGTTCAAGCTCGTAACTGCTCATTAGGGCTGACACACAGGACTTCTGGCTTAGGGTGAGTAATTAGTACTGCACTGGGCTGTCCTATACTCCTCTCCCCCATCCCCATGATTTATTGCTTCCTAAGGAATCCACATTTAGTGCTAGCCCAGCAATGTGGGGAGAAAAAGGACTGAGAGAGCCCTTGTTCTGCTTTCTTTGTGGGTAACTTGCAATATTTCTGCCTTTTCAGGAAATGTCACCTGAGCAAGTAATGATAGGGCAGTGATGGCGAACCTATGACACGCGTATCAGAGGTGACACGCGAACTCATTTTTTTGGTTGATTTTTCTTTGTTAAATGGCATTTAAATATATAAAATAAATATCAAAAATATAAGTCTTTTTTTTACTATGGTTGCAAATATCAAAAAATTTCTATATGTGACACGGCACCAGAGTTAAGTTAGGGTTTTTCAAAATGCTGACACGCCAAGCTCAAAAGGTTCGCCATCACTGTGATAGGGTAAATTGTGTGAAAGATACCTCAAAGGTCAACTTAACTTGATGTCTATTTAATGGCAATATATCTCAAAGGTCAACTTCACTTTTGATGTCTATTTAATGGCAATGTGACTATGACTTTCTGACCAAACCAGCTCATTTTTTTTTTAATACTAAAAAGAGATATCCAAGTAATGAAAATGACATTATTTAGAACTAGAGGCCTGGTGCATGGATTTGTGCACCGGGGGGTCCCCCGGCCTGGCCTGTGGGGATTGGGCAAAACCGGCTTTCCAAAATCCCCCAAGGGGTCCTGGATTACAAGAGGGCACAGGCCAGGCTAAGGGACCCCACCAGTGCACAAATTCGTGTACTGGGCCTCTACTATGCGTATAAGATCTTTGGTTAATCTCTTCCCACCCCCCCTCCTCCCTCCTTCCCTCTGAGTTTCATTAGTCTCTTCCATGTTTCCATGCCTGTGTATTGAGCATCTGCCCCCTGGTGGTCAGGGCACATCATAGCTACCAGTCAAATGGTTGAACAGTTGAATGGTTGCTTAGGCTTTTATCTATATAGATATTTATTTGACTAACAAATATATTAGTGGACCTATAAAAAAGTTCTATTCAAAACTATTTTCTAAATTAACATTTTAAAAGTAATTAATTTATATTCTTATACATTAAAACAATTTAAAATTTTAATCTTAATTTTATATTCATATTAATTTTTTGTTAAGAACTTTTCATTAAAAGTAACCATAAAATCCAAAGGGAGCTACGTACTGGTCATATTTGATACACTGATATAAGATTGGTGTTCATAATATATAAATAATGACTACAAATTAGAATAATAATCTATTAGAAAAATGGTCAAAAGAGATGAAAAGTCACTCCATAGAAGAGGAGCTCTGCATGGCCAATAAGCCTTTAAATTGTCCAACCACTAGTAATTAAGGAAATGCATGTTAAAACCACAATAAAATGGCATTTAATTAATTGGTTAAGTTAAAAACTTTGACAATATCAAGGAAGTAGAGCAATAAAAACTTATTATACACCACTGATGGAGTTGTGAACTACTTTGGAAAACCACTTTGGAAAACAGATTAGCATACATTGAACACACATATGTATCCTATAATCCAGCAATTCCATTCCTGGGTATATGCCTTAGAGAAATATAATTATATATGTAGTATATAATGTATGCTACATCTTTAATGTTTAAAATACAAATAGGAGATTGAATTATAAAGGAAAATAATGGAATTATTAATCAAAATTTCAGGATAGTGTTTAATTATTGGAGAACATAAGGTTATTTGATAGGGGAGAGTTACACAGATGATTTCAGTGATTATAATCTTTATTAAACTAAGAGGTAAGGTTAATTGTATTATTTTCCCTTTTCATATGTTTTATAAATATTTTGCATCTACTCATTTTTAATATAATTCAGGAAGACCTATTTTGATGACATTGAAAAATATTTTAAAATAGAAAAATAGATAGGTAGGTCCAGAATACTACCTATCTCACCATTTTAGTTTGCATATTTCTTTTAAATCTTTAGCCAGATGCATGCATATTTTAAGAGTCATGATTATGTATGTACCTACAATTTTTCATTTCATACCTTCACTTTATGCAATGGATATTTTCCCATTTTGCTCTTTTTTTTATAATTATTTTCAGTGGCTACATAATTTTTAAAAATTATAATACAATAAACATTTTAACTCTGATAACTTCACAAATATTTAATAAACACATACGATGTGCACATACTCTGCTAAGTGTTAAGGATATCATAGTAAACATTAACTTGCTGCCCTACCCAGCAATTTTAATAAGGAATTA